TCTCTCTCTCTCTCTCTCTCTCTCTCTCTCTCTCTCTCTCTCTCTCTCTCTCTCTCTCTCTCTCTCTCTCTCTCTCTCTCTCTCTCTCCCCCATTATCGTCGCCTTCCAACCGCCCCACAACCCCCACCTCGTTCCCATTATCGTCGCCTTCCAACCGCTCCACAACCCTACCTGTGTCGATGAAGGTGCTTCATTTTTTCTGTGCCATCAGATTGTTGGTGCTTCATCAAGGAGAGCCTTCCTTATTTTTTGGTGTTGGGGGTTGGGTGGGGGGTAGGGGTGTAGGGGGGGGTGGGGGGAGGGTGTCTTCCCTTTTGCGTCGATGAATGGTGTTCGATAATTTTAGTTATTTTTTGTGAAATGTAGACGTGTCGACTCTCCAATTTTTGGTTGTGAGAGAGATTAGTGGTGACGAGGAGTCCTCGTCAGGAAATTCTAAGGTGTATTTGTATTTAAGCTATCGTAAGGTGAAACGAGCTTTTGGCGTTTCGATGCCCGACTTTGCAATCAAACTGCGATGATCGTGCTTGTTTATTCAACAGACAAAGGGCCTCGGTTCACTCCACAGCGTTGGGAATGGGTCTGGAGCCCGGTAATGTTCCTGATTCATTTGATATCTGGGACGAGTCAGATTGTATCTGGTCCAAAGCTGGTCCAAAGCACAGTCCAGATACTTGTGCATCTGCTGCGTGGTGGAGTAGGCCCGAAGTTTGTGATTTTGCTCTTATTCCTATTCATTCGCTCCGTCGACGGCAGAACGTTAACCGTTAGTTTGTCTGTGAAGATTGCCCGGTCTCTGCTGTGTGTGGCACGGAGGAACTTTTTGGCATCTGGCATCTGGACTCCGCTTTTGACCAGATGCACTTGGACTGTCTCCGGTTCTAAATTCTAATAAATACGAGGGGAGGAGGTAAAGGCGAGGTTGTGATTGGTTAATCCGCTCCTCTTGCCGAGAGGATTCACATTTATTTATCGGTGAGGATTTTTGCAAATGCATGCTTTATGTGTGTTTGCTCCGGACAACAAGTCTCATTACTGATGTGGATCGTTATGGTAATAACTTGTGAGGATGGTGATGTATGCCCTAAGCGTGTCCGAATGAAATTATTGTATGGTCGATGAAATAAAAAGCCAGTTAAAAAAGGGTTAGGCTGACGAATGAGCCTAGCTCAGTATAGGTACCCCCACGAACTGTCGAATCAGACACCCAGAATAAGATAAATTTTGAATTACCTTGGACAGCTTGGCTTCAGTGATGATATCTCGAGGCCGTCGGCCTTCTTTTTTTCTTAACACAAAAAAGGGTTAGGCTGTAGTTGCTGTCCATAAAGGAGAGAAAAATTGAAAAGGTAAAGAAGGAAAAAGAAACAAAAACAAAAGAACCCCTAAGGGCTTATTAGGCTGCAGTTGCTGTTCATTAAGGATATGCACTCTGTAAGGATGGTAAAAATAAATAAATAAATAATAAAAAATATATAATAATAATAATAATAATAATAATAATAATAATAATTAAAAATCAAATAAACAGAAGAAAGGAAGGGAAAGGTGTTAGGCTATGGTTGCCACTGATTGAGCATCCGGACTGTTTAAGGATGGATGGTGAGCACTTTGTGAGGATTAAAACTTGTGCCTGTAGTGTGTGCAAATGGAATTTATGGGTGGTTGATCAAAGGAAAAGCCGTTAGCCAAGAAAACAACGAAGTAAAATGGAAATGAATAAAAATAAAATGAAAAAAAAATTAGAACATGAAATAAAGTGAGAAAAGGGTCCCGAAAAAGAAATGGACAAGAAGAAAAAAGGAAGGGACTAGGCTGGAGTTGCTTTCTACAAATGAGATCCGCTGTGTAAGGGCGTGGCAGTAACTTGTGAGGGTGGTACCTTGTGCCTACGCCCCTCATGTCACGAGCGCTGAGTGCGCGGCTTCAAAATTACTAGGTCCCGCTGGTCCGTCCGCCGAGATGGGTACCGGTCGAGGGCTGGGGAAAATCAAGCATTAGAAAAAAAAAGGTGTTAGTGGTGATCAGAGCCATGAATGCTCGTAGCCCTTCATTATGATAACAAAACGTTTTGGCGGGGCGCAGCCAATTGGTTTGACTTTGACGGAAACAGAATGTTGTCGTCATTGGAATACCACGTCTATGACGGTATTGGTCTTGTGCAGAGCATTACACAGTTATGCCTACACCCATAAAAACACAGTGGTCGTGTGCAGAGCGGTACACAGTTATGCCTACAGCCATAAACACAGTCTTCCCTTGGTGGATGTGGTATTCCGTGCCGCCTAGGGCAGAAGCACATTGACTTGTGTATGGGGAAAGGCTTGACTTGGGCAGAAGCAGGTTGGCTTGGCTGTGTGCACTTGGACGAAGCGGCGGCAGCAGCAGTGCACTGCATTGTCCTTGGTGCACTGCTGTATGCAGCTATGCCTATGCCCGAAGCACAGCATCCTTTTGCCCCTTGGTAGTAGTGCCCTGTGTAGAGATAAAGCACACTGACTCGCCTGTATGTGCATTGCAACATGAAGTCTTGACCAGGTTCGCTGCACTATATCGTCTTGCGGCCGTGGGCAAGAGCAGTGTACCAACTTGCCCAGAGTCTACCGCGCCGGCGGCAGGAGCACATCAGCTTATGCGTGGAAAGTAGCTCTGCGTCATCTATCCGACACGGATCGAAGAGCAGTGTACCAACTTGCCCAGAGTCTACCACGCCGGTGGCAGGAGCACATCAGCTCATGCGTGGAAAGTAGCTCTGCGTCATCTATCCAACACGGATCGAAAGATCTGACCCAAAGAGAAGGAAGGAAGTATATGAACGTAAGTTCATGGCTATGGCTCACTCTCACTCTCCTCCTCACACAGCGTTGCTGTCTTCTCTCTTCGCTTATCTCAGCCCCGATTGGTCACGAGATTGATAGGAGAAATGAATCTGGTCTTAGAACCCGCAACAATCATTTCGATGCAGCTCTTCTGCCCTACCGTTTCATTCTGAAGCAAGTCTGTGAAGACACATGTAAGCGGGCGTTCCCCTCCTTTCTGTTTCAAGTATGTGCTTGCGAAACTGGCCTCAAGTTTGAGGCGGGTGGCCACGAAAGCGACAGGGCACTCTCAAGTGCTCTTCACTTCGCCGTGTTCCGTGGTAATTGCACCATCAAGTGATCTTCACATCTCTGGTTCTTGTGTCACGTAGCTTTGTAGATCTAGAGTATGGGATACAATGCAGGTCAAAACATTAGCAATTCAGCAATTATCAACGAACCTGCCAGGGTCTCCTGCAGTGAAACTCGAGGTTCAGTTGAGAGCTCTTGCACATGTACATGCATACTTTCTTAGTTGCATCCTCCTACCATCCGAGCAAAAAGTTGTTGATCAAGGGG